TTCGTGTGGAAGCCGGCCGCCTCGTTGGAAAGTGGCTTGAAGTAGGGAAATGGATAGGCCGGCGATGGTGGCCCAGACGCGGGACTTGGACTTCCCTGTCCGCGGCATCGTCTCGGGCTGCCGGCCTCGGCCCCGTGCGCAGGGCAGTCGGGGGCAGAGAGTGTGGGGAGCGGCTGGTTAAGGGGCTGCCCTCTCCGCCCAGGGTGGTGGCCGTGGGGCTAGAGACGACGGAAGGAATCAGACGTCAGAAAGTGACAGGACTTAGCAATAGGTTGGGTTCAGGGAAGGGGAAGAATTCTCCAAACTGTGAGCAGTTTGATTCTTTTGAGATAGAAAACGAAGGGCTCCCTCCTGCCTCTTCCGAGACCTGCAGGTTCCGGCACACGGTTCGCCAGGCCCTTCATGCTGGAACCGGTGCCAGCGTCTCCCTCGCCCTTCATGCTGGAACCGGTGCCAGCGTCTCCCCCGCTGCTCCCGCGGTGCCTCTCGGGGTTCCTCCTCCTCCTCCACCTGCAGCATCGCCTCCTCCAGGAAGTCTCCCGTCTCCCCGCACTAGTCCGGGTCTCACTTGTCTTTCCTGGTAGCCTATCAGCCAGTGGTTCTCAACCTTCCTAATGCCGCGACCCTTTAATACAGTTCCTCATGGTGTGGTGGCCCCCAATTTCATTGTTACAAATTGAACATAATTAAAGCATAGTGATTAACCACAAAAACAGTATGTAATTATATATGTGTTTTGCGATGGTCTTAGGCGACCCGTTGGACCCCCAAAGGGGTCGCGACCCACAGGTTGAGAACCGCTGCGAAGCCTTTGTGAAGGCAGAAACCCCACCAAACTTATCGCTGTATATCTCAGCACCCCGAGCACGTTTCTTTTATGTGGTAAACAGTATTGAAATATTTGTTGAATGAATGAACAGCAAGGTTTTCGCCCTGAATGTGACAAAAATTGGTGGAGCCAGTAGCCGGAAATGGTGTGTTGGTGGGAGGGTGCTAGTTTGGGGAGAAGAAGGTGGGTTCCGTTTAAGGTGACAACTGGATGTACACACATTGAAGATATTGGGTTGACGTTAGACGATGAGGGTAGAGGAAGATGTTAATTAGGCCTGTGGTGACTTACATGAGATCTCTGACAAAGGCAGTGTAAAAAGAATACAAGCTTTTTTTTTTTCTAAGAATGAAAAAAAGCATGAGTTTTGATATATATTACCTATGTGGTCTTTAACAAGTTACTGATTCTCAGGTTCAGTTCCTCATCTATAAAACACAAGATCTACTTTTCCAGATTGCTTTAAGGATAAGAGGAGCTGAATATAAAGTGTGAAGTTTGCATTGTTGTATTATTATTCAACCAAAAGACAGCCATATATTAAGTATTCATAAACATATACTGTAGTAAATGAGAGAAATAACATTAAATTATTTTCACACAAAAATAGGAGATTGCCTGAAACAAAATGGAAGAAAAATAGACAAGGGAAAAGGTGGAAAAGAAAACATGACTGAAGGAAAAAGTGAGGTACTTGGAGGGCAGTGGTGTCTCAGAGAATGGAAATGAAGATACTAAAGGGGTGCTCGCTTCGGCTGCACATATACTAAAATTGGAACGATAGAAGATTAGCATGGCCCCTGCGCAAGGATGACACACAAATTCGTGAAGCGTTCTATATTTAAAAAAAAAAAAAAAAAAGGATACTAAAGGGGCTCCTGGAAAGAGATGGGAAAAGAGACAAGAATATGAAGATTATCCTGTCCATCCCCATTTCCCCAAAAAACATTACAGTACACTTCCAAGGACACAAAGTTTTCATGCTTTGGTAGGGAGCAAAAACAATTTTCTTTACAAAACCCAAACACCATCATATTCACAGATTGATTTTCCTAATTCTATCTTTGTGAGTTTCAAAATCTGATTAATGGAACATAGTAACAGAAGCAGCTCCCGAACATATAGTTTAGGGGCTGCCCTGAATGAAAAAAAGGGTCTGTAAAACATACACCCAGTTTATTCCACAGCAAGGGATATAAAGGCATGGGATTGGTTTGTTGTGATAGACAATAACTAAATAATTCTGAGCATTTGGCAATCCTTTACATGTTACATATTTAAATCACTAGATTGCTTATGTTTTCTTGCCTCTCAATTGGTCAAACATTGAAGATAAACTGAAAAATACTAGGCGTTTTAAGAACCTTTTTTGTCTTTTTCTATTAGCTGCTCATGAGCCTCTTTCCAGTTACCGTTCATGTGAGAAGGAAAAGAGGAGAAGGTGGTTTAAGCCAGAGTTTTTCAAACATGAGAAATTGTGACCCACTGAGACACCTCTGCCGCTCCCAAGGGATTCACGGGAGTCCAGGCCAGGGAACATGGCCTTAAAAGTTACATGCTAACTTCAGAGTATAATGTGACACCCATTCAATTGTAAACTTAAACATAAGATCACTCAAAAATATAAGGTGCTCATCTAGATCATCCAAAATATGCTAATATGCTTATATTATACAACTTAAAGCTCTAAGTTTTAAAATTCTCATGGAAGCCTCATAGCACCTTGGAAATACAAGACCCCCAGAGGGGAACAGACCACAGATTTGAGAAACTCAACCTTCATATGGAAGATGTTAAGTGAGGAGAGAATGAGAAAAGAGAAATTGGAAAGTAGGTCCTCCCAGACTCCCCCAACTAACCCAGACTTTTCCTGGGGTTTCTAATTCTGTTTTTGACCCTTCGTATACTTCCTTCACATCCTGTTTCTGATGACATGATACTAGTCATAAAATATTGCCTTGGAAGCACAGCAGTTTTGACACTATATATCTTCCTGTGTGTGATTATAGGTGAAAGATGTGTCCAGGGAGCAGGGGCAAACTGTGGGGGCAAGATTTAGGGTTAAGAGAAAAGGAATACAGATATTTTAAAGTTACCAGAAGAGAGAGGGAAAAGAGTCTGTTTCTGAAGTTCTGGACTAAGCCATACTACACTTTATGTTTTCATCAATAAATGAAACTTTAAAAAAAAATCAGTTGCTGTTTTGTATTTCTAGAAGGCAAGACATAAATTCATTTTGAAGCAGTCTTCCTTTTCTGAAGGATATCACCAGAATGGGCTGTCTAGACATACATAAAAGAAATAGTCACTTTTATCCTAAAGATAATTGTGAAATGACCGTTAACCAAAATTCAGATGTTTCAGACTGAGTTGCTGGAGTTAATTTATGTATTAGTAATATAAATTACGTCTTTCGCAGGAATGTGCCCTTGAAGGAAAACAGAGATCATTTCTTTCTCTTAAAATGAGAATATAGACTGGAATGTTTCTTAAAATCCTTGTTTTTAGGAAAACCTATGTATGTTTTTATCCAAGTGTTTGCTCACAGGTGTTCACAAAGCTGGAGCCACCCTCAAGAGTGAATGCTAATCTTATCTTCACTCACGTAAGTCCACAGATTGGCCTGAATCACTGGCATCTCACAAAGTGGTGTTACATAAAAGCCAAATTATCCCAAGTCTGGAAAGTATCAGTAACTCCTGGGATTGCATCAAGCAGGCCAAAGTGAAGGTGAGTTTTCCCCCCTAAGGAAAAGATAGCCCCTCAGTCGGATACTCTAGAAATAAGCAGGCCTTGAACTGGAAAGGAAAGATGCTCTTTGGTCCCATGCCTGGTGCCAGCATTAGGATTCCCAGACGTGGCGGTCTGGAGATTCCTGGTGAGGAAAGCGGGCAGGCTGAGCTGGCTGCCTTACCCGGAATCTGAAGTATGGCCGCGTCTAGTGGCAACTGTGGACTACCCTCTGTTTTTAAGGCCTGTGCCTCTGTGTCTTGTTAAATAGCCTGGACTAAGCTGAGCTTGGAGAATAAAGTGAGGAGATCTATGTTCATTGGGATGGGGCCATGTTGCAGTAGGCGGTGGCAAAGTTCAAGAGTAACAGTGGTTAGGAGCAAGGACGGCTGGCAAAAGCAATAGTAATTTCCAGAGAGGTTCTGTGGCACACTTAACCATTCCTTAGTGATTCCTCAAAGTCCTTTGTAGGAGAACTCCTTTGCCATATTGGCTGCTAAGAACTGAGGACACACAGGTGCAGTCTGCCAGATCGGCCCAAGGGAACCATAATATTACTTAGAAAAGTCCTGCTGCTTCTTATAGTTATCAGGA